ATTTACTATCGGCGTGAGAGCGCATGCTGTTGGGAGGAGCGAACGCAGTGCTTTACTTTTCCTCAGACGTATTGCTGCACTTGGATACTGAAGTATTGAAAAATATCTCTGTTGTGATGTATGAAGTTTGGGCTACCTTATACAAGAGGCATAGATGTAGATTTGGGGGTCCCAAGTGTACTACCTCCATTCCATGGATGTTTGTAAGGTAGTGAGTTGTCCATAATCATGCATCTAATGCATGCATCTCAAGTCATTAAAGGTTTAATACATGTCCAAACTGTTACTTATTTCACTGGTAATGCTCTGGGAAACTTTTAATTGTGCCTCATCATTAGTGTTTGGCTCCAGTAGATTCAGGCAGTGCTTCTGGTTTCTTTCTGTTATCACAATGTGGATGTCTGTTTGGGTCTTTCTCAACATCTGCCCACTACTGGACACACACACACTTTCTCTTTATTACACTTCCAAAAAGAACACAGTTGCACAAAAAAAACCCTCAAAAGCTGTCTTTACTGAAGTCCAAACATATATTACAATTCAATCCTAAAGGCATGTTCTCAAAAATGAATTTTAAGCAGCTTGCTAAAACCCTCATGGGCAGTTAAATTGCATTTATTTTCATAATATTTAAGCTAAAATAAAATAATATTTACAAATGAACACGCATAAAGACTCACTGTTTCAATTCATTTTTCAAAGTTTATTTGTATAGCGTTTCTCACAACACATATTATTTCAAAGCAGCTTTATAGAAAATGTTTGTTTCAATTTTACAGTTCGGAAGTATTCTGTTTTTAGCCAGAGATGAGTATGTCAGAGTAATGTCCATATTGCAGTAATAGGTAGCTATAATATAATACATGTTATGTGGTTAGTTAATGTCATGTATTCAGTTAAGCAGGTACAACAAATATTATTGTGCTCATAATGATTACAATATAAGGATAATGATTGACAGTTTTGAATGTTGATCCAAAGTTGGCATCCCCTGAGGTCTTTGCAAGTGTTGGCGTCGTCTGAAATCTTCACAAAGGCTGGATCCATACTGGAGCTGGTGCAATCTGTAGTTAATCTGAAGAACATCAGGAAAGCAAAATGAGAATAATTAGCTGCTGTTCATAGCATTTCAGACAAAAGATGATCACGTGTATTTAGTGCTATTTCATAAGATATAATAATACAAATTAATGAGAGCTATATGAATGCTTGGCTAAAGAGATGTGTCTTTAATTTAGATTTAAACAGGGAGGGTTGACAAGTATTGGATAATTATCCAGCCATCCTGACCCTTCACTTTTCCTGGCATGAAAATTATACTGTTGGGAAAAATGTTGCTCAAATAGTACTTATGTCTTTAATTCTGTCAAACACTGCTTTTCAAATAAACATCAAACTTCCCTGAGCCTTATGACTCCAATAGGAGCAATTTCCAGTGCTTCACTCTCACTTTAAATTATTTGCATTTAGTATAATTTGGGTTTGGCACAATGAACAAATTATGGCTTTTCAATCTTCGACCCAGCTATATTATTTTCACTGGTTGAGTTCATCACGTACTGCTGAAACGGTTGTGGTAAAGCTGAGTCTTTGAAACTCATCTAAACAGATGCTGGAGGTCATAGACTTCTTCTCTCAGAAACACTTTGAAAGACTTTCAAAGATCGTTACGCAGAAGGGAATTTCCTGTGGCCGTAAGGGCCTATGTGTGTTTGCTCCAGATTGTGTGTGTGTTTTTGGTGTGTGTTTGTGTGTGGTCAGGCTGCCTGGGAGTTCTGATATACCGCTGTGGATCAGTGCCAGGAAGGAACAGCCAGGCAACCCTCATCAGCAGGCCAAAACTCTCCAGTGCAGCGGCACGGTGCCCAGCCTTCACCCCAGACACTCCGCTTCTGATTAGGCTTTCTAAGAGCAGAGCCCTACTCATCTCTTTTTCTCTCTCTCCTTCTCTTTCCAACCGCTACGACCCAACAAAAGTCCCACACGCTCTTGAACCTAATTTGAATGTATTTGTTTGCTTATGGCTATTTAGGAGGCTGTGAAATGTATCCCAATTGGCTGACTTTTCATTTGAATCAGGACAATGAAATGGGATGGTGTGGTGTAGTGGTTAAGGCTCATGGGGTGGTAATTGGAAGGTTGCTGATTCGATCCCTCCATTGGCGTCCAAAGGAACAAATATGTTTTTGTGGCTCAGCAGGTAGAGCATGGCTCTATCAATGCTACGGCTTGATAGCGCCTCACTATCAGGTGAGGTTTTCCCACCAGTGCATTTTATCAATGAGCATGTTCAGTGACAAGTATTGATCCAAGTTATTGAGACAGAAGGCATGTGTTCCTCCAGGGAGCATGGAGCTGTTGAAGCCATAGCCTAGCTGTTAGCACCAATGCTGGGAAACCACTTTTGCTGGTGTTTAATAAGTAACTTTGCAAGTATACCATAACCATAACCTAAGTCTACTAATACTCTAATGAGAGTTATTTGACATGAATTTACAAATTTACTTATAGTTAACATAATGTCTATAGTGGATTTTATCATCTAAATAAAGTGTAACCCATTTTTTTTTCAATAATCCATTTCACAATATATAAGAACAATCTGTCGCTACTTTACTAGTTTGTAGTTTAACTATCGTTTAAAGTATGATACTACTAGCAGTCAAGCTAAACCTTTAATAAGTAGTTAGATACATTACTACTTTTGCTAATAAAATGTAGCTAAATGCATTGATGTTTATTTGGGCACTATATATTTGGCATAATAATAGTATAGAAGAAAAATAAACTAGTTATTCCTTTGAATTAAGTAACCGGTTTCACTCGAATATATGTCACAATACAGGAGAAAAGACTAGGACTGTCAAACAATAAATCACAATTAATTGCATCTAAAATAAATGTCTGTGTTTACATAATATATATGTGTGAACTTTAAATGATTCCCTTTGAGCTAAATTGAACTGTTTCCCTTACAACACACACACACACACATGCATATATTTAAGAAAAAATATATAAAATTGTATATAAAATATTTATATTTATATATAATATAAATTATATATAAATGTAAATTTATACATATAAATATTTGTTAAATATGTATGTGTGTGTGTGTGTGTGTGTGTGTGTGTGTTTATATATACATAATAAATATATACAGTACACACTCATATATTATGTAAACAAACTTTTATTTTGGATGCGATTAATCGTCAGCTCTAATGCCGACTTTAAATAATTTTGTTTCTCAAGTAAATGTATCTTTTTAAAGAAAGGTTATATATTTGTACTGGAAAAACAACACAAATGAAAACTGGCTCCCATGATAAATCAAAGAAGCAGTGGAGGCTTATGAAAGTTACACATTGTATTTCTATTCATGTTTTTTTTTTAGGAAAAGAGAAACAGCAACAAATGATATGAGAATGTATAGGAACCGAGGTGGAGATTGGATCTTTGCGGTGTAGGGTAAGCATGCCGTTTTCTGCCGGTTGTGGATTTATGGGCGAGCAAGGGAGCTGCAGGTCTTGATTAAATCCGTGACCTTCACCACTCACACAGGCAATCAAGGCGAGGATAAATTCATCATTGCATTGATCCATCAATTGAATTGCGTTTCCGACACTAGCGATGGCTTGACCTCGGCGGCCGGCAGGATTGTCTAATTTGCTCGCGGTGCAGATTGCTAACGCTCTCACCTTAACTGCACTGTGAATTTACGTCTACCCCTGAGACGCACCATCACGAACCACCTCCCTCCCACCAACATCCCCTCGATGAGTGCCAAGCAGCAAAGCAATCAAATAAATATGCCCTTTCCAATTCATTAACATTCACACGGCCTCCGAATTTACATACATTAGAATATGCAGCAGCCCTGTGTGGTGTTTTTTTATTGGCGCCTTGAGCTAGAGTATGGCTAACACCATGCTAAAGTCATACTCGCCACCTTCATCTACTCCTCTACGTGCTCCTTCTCTCAGGCCTGTGTTTGTGAAAACACTTTGCATTTGTAAATGTGTAAAAGGCTGAATTCCTCCTCACGTATTTCACATGGTTCCTCAGAGGGACCAAGAAATTGGGTCATCCATTGGGGCTCTGAGGCAAACAAATGAATGTGAGAGGCAGATGTGGAAAAGATGGGAAAGAGAAAGAGAAAGAGAGATAGAAAAGTGAAATCGAGAAATGGCCGCATTTTGAGGGGAGAGTCAGGTTGCCATTCTCTAGTTTGTAAACATAATCGTGGTGTACTCTGAGGCAGGGAAATGTTGGAATTTGAATCCAGGTCTCAAGGATGTGTTTTGGTTTTGCGAAGTTCTATAGGGACGCTCTGCTACAAGAAACTATTTGTAATTCCTGCACTCAGGCTCGTTTTTCTCCACTGGTTATTTAAGTCCGTGTTGACTGACCCATTTTTACAGCACACGGGATGTTGTAACAGCTCTGAAAAGGGAAAAGGAATGTGTATTTACAGCTGAAGTGTGTACTTTCTGTGCCTCTTTGAAAGAATTCCAAAAATAATGACTGTTTATAAACCGGTTTTTCAAATGCAGTCTACCATTGGTCTGACAAACAGTTAGTCATGACCCAAACTCATCCTACTCTCTTCTGATGGTGACAACTGGTTTTGTGTGGTTGTTCTTGTTGGCAAAGATGTTCATTTATGGTCATTAGGGGTCAATCTGGAAGACCACTTAGATGATCTGGTAGATAATCTTTAAAAACTGGTCTACCTTTTGTTGTGTTTTGTTGTTTTGTTTTGTTTGGTATTGTTTCGCTTCATGTTTTGTTTCATGTTGTTTCATTTTGTGTTATTTCATTTGGTTTGTTTCATTTAGCTTTTGTTTCATTTCATTTTGTTTAGTGTTTAGTTTTGTTTTGTTTTTGTTGTGTTATGTTTTCTTTTGTTTCGTTTTTTGTTTTGTGTTGTTTTACTGGAGTGCTCTTTGAAGATGTATGTCTAACATTTCTGTCTTCATGTTTCTGTTTTGCAGCCTGCATGCCAGGCACCTACAAGGCCTCTTCCATGGATGCCTACTGCACCAAGTGTCCTCCTCACAGTTTCTCCCATCAGGAGAAAGCCTCCGAGTGCTCCTGCGAGAAGGGATTTTACAGAGCTGATATGGACCCGCGGTCAATGGCCTGTACCCGTGAGTGATCCAGCACTAAACCAATAAATCTATGTTAGATTAATCATGCATGAATGTTGATGGGCAGACAGATCCATGGATGGATGACCTGATGGAAAGAGGGGTGAATGGATAGGTGGAGGTAATTAGGAATGCATGAATGTATACATTATAAGTGTATGGATAAATTAGATGGATGGATAAACTTTTGAAAATAAGGATAATAGGTGGATGCATGGATGGATAAAATGATGGTGAGTTAGTTGAATGGATAGTTCTAATTATGCATGGATGGACTGACAGATAATGGATGGAAAAATGGATGGATAGAGGACAGGTTGTTTATAAGAAGAGGCTGGAGGCTGTTTTCCTTATTTATTCTTATAGACTGGCCTCAGTACATTTTCACCTCCATCACTGTCTCATCATCATACATCATGTCAGATTGGACGTTTAACGCTGCGTTTACAAGACTGGTGAGGTCACCTTTTGTAGACCAGGATAGTGAGTCATTGCCTATATGTGTGTTTGTGTGCTGGGGGTTGAAGGGCAGAAGAACGAAAGAGAGAACAGAAAGAAAGGAATGAGAAAGAAAGAACCCAATACGACAGATCCTAATTAAAGGACTCATTCATCTGATAAGGCAAATCATGCGTGAAGCTAAACATATGGATTCACTTAATGACCTTTAGTTGTAGTACATCACGCACACACTTACACACAAACTCACCTCCCACCCCAAACACACACACTCTCTCTCTCTGCTTGCTTAATGTAATGATAACATAAATTAGGGCAACAGCAGTGAAATGAGACTGTTTATACTGTATATGAAAATCATGTGCCAGAAAATAAAAATTATGTGCTAATATGATTACTTAGAAACCAGCTGTAAATCACACATATGCATGTCAACAACATCACGTTCAGTTTATGCGCATGTCTTAACTCTTACACCTCAAATGAGACTATGTTAGGCCTGGGCAATAAAACGGTATCGATATTTATCGGTACACCTTCTTCAATAACGACATAAAAAATGTTCAATATAGTGCACGATATTGGCACGTGCTATGAGTGACGCAGACAGCACACACAAACATGAACATGAGTGCTGTGCCTGCCTGTGATGAAAAGATTGTGAGTAAAGAATAAATATTAGTCAAATTTAAAATAAACATTTGAATTTGAATGCAAAAATAGTACAATCCAATGTTAGATGTGCGTCAGGGAGCGTCATCAGTGGAGCATGAGATGCGGTGATGATGATGTAAGTGACGTTGTAGTTTAATGTTTTGTTAGTCTAGCCCACGAGACGCGCAGTTGCTGCATTATTCATTCAAAATATTAGAGAAATATAGAAACTCAATGCCTAGAAGATCTTGATTAGGTTAAAACCAAAACCAAGCCATTCACACAGAACGCATATTCAGCGCATTTTCTAGACGGACAAATATGACTGCTGCACTTGCGTCTCAGACAAGAGATGTAGCCATGCAAAGTTAAAACAGTTTAACTTTTAGGAAACACGTCGCATATTTTTGTGGAGGTTTTTTCCTTTTCACTGCGTCTCATATGTTTTTAAAGGCAATCTGTGTGATGGGCGATTCGGCTCGTATTAAGCAATGCATAAATATGTGATGCATATTTGTTTATGCAATTTACGAAATTATATTTGATTTATATGAGTTAATTTAGACGTAATGCACTTTTTTTATAGACAGTTACTTCCTTGCGTTGACAATTTTAATGTTTTTCTATTGCTCTTTGTTTTAAAAAGGTTATAAAAAATGTCAATAATTATCGATACCGAACGATATGAAACATTATATCGTTGATACATTTTTTAGCTATATCGCCCAGCCCTAGACTATGTAATTTTATTTCCCATCTTAGTGTTTCCATCCAGCCTTTTTTATGCAGTATCCCAAAATGTTTGGTAAATCTCTTTGAAAGGGCCATTATGCTCTTATGCTCATCAAGGTTGCATTAATTTGATTAAGAATCCACTATTAACAGTAATATTGTTAAATAATATTACAATTTAAAGTAACAGTTCTCTATTTTGACATAATTTAAAATGTAATTTATTAACTGAATTTTCAGAAGCCATTACTCCAGTCTTCAATGTCACATGATTCTTCAGAAATCATTCTAATATGCTGATTTGGTGCACATTTCTTATTATCAGTGCTAAAAGAGTGCTGCTGAATGTTTTTGTGCGAACTGGGATACATTGTTTTAGGGTTCTTTGATGAACAGAAATGTAAAAAAAAAAAAAACATAATGGAAATAGGAATATTTTAATGCATCCTTGCTAAACAACAGGAATTAAATATATTTTAATCATTATTCTAAATTTGTTTATACAAAATGTGTGTATGAGGGTGTTTTTGACCCTTAAAAGAACACACTCAAATTTTATCTCAGTGGCTGGAATGACCTTTAGGTTGTGCAACATATAGACTTCTTCATCCACAGGTGACCACAAACACACACACCGATCTGTGTCCCAGAGGAGCCCTCCCTATCCACCAGCAGCTAGTAGATCTGGTGAAATGTCATAACCACAGACATTTAAAGTCCTCCACCCTGATCCCGTTTCCTCTGCTTCATTTACTCTCTCTATCCTGAAGCTCTCTCGCAGCCTCTTCAAACCCTTTGAGCAGTGAAAGCAACCATCACTCTCTAGGAATAGAGATGAGGGTGTTTAATTACTGAGGCTTTGCAAAAACAATTTGTGTCCGTGTGGAATATGTGCATTGGCGGTTCTTCCTATCTTATCCGCTTTCCTTTGGCTGTATTTTCCTGCTTTCATCCCGCACACTCATATGAGAACTTATTTCAATGAGAAGACACCCTGCTGAACAGAGTAGTGTTAAAAAAACTTTACTGGAGTTGTGCGTAGTTGCAGCTTTAGCAGGTTATTAAAGAAAAGACCCCATGGCAGCACTATCCAGCACCCCGCAACCTGTTCAGACCTACCATTATCATGCCCTCCTTCGAATGAACGTTACCCTTAATGCACTGCATCCAGGCAATAGGAAGCATTTAGTGTTAAAGTGCCAGCTTAACAGCACAGGAGAACCTCTAGGTTTTTCTTCATATTTATTTGCTCCTCGTTTTCTCAGTTGGTGTGCTTGCTTTAGTGAGAGTGCTGCACAGTATGGTTTTCCTATTTCTGGTTGGCAAAAATGAAAAGAAAAGTGCAGAAGTTGCTCAAGTGTAAGTGTTGTTTTATGAGCGTTGTTTGCTAGATTTTTCTCTGACTTCAAGAATTACGTTTTACGTAAAATTATAAAATTATATAAAATTAAATACATTTTGTGCATTTATTTGCCAAAGATTTACCAATCTAAGACATGAAACAAACACTGGACCAAATATTTTGTTTTTGTGTTAATCATAATTACCAAGTGACCCATTGGTCATACAGATTAATACGGGAAGCGATTTTTCCTCCTTTTTTTAAGTTAATAGTTTTTTTTTTTCTTATATTTTTGGGACCTTTTTTGAGTCACAGCGACCAGTTAAGAACGATGTAGATTCATACAGTCAGAGCCGATCCTCCCTATACGCAAAATACGCAAGCTGCGTAGGGCCCCCTTGCTCTCAAAGATGATTTAATTTTAGTTTCGTTTTTGAATTTGGCCAGCCGTTATGAAAACATGAATGATTATTTATTTTAATGCGGTGCGCTGTTGCCCTTTCTACGTAAAAATCAGTCAAATCATGTAACGTACAGTCTTGCTTGAGACTAAAAAAACGAGTTGAAAGTGTACCGAGCCGCGGAAAAGATACTGTTTCTCAAGTGCTTTCCGCGAGCGCGATTTGAGACGGAGTGAAGCACGAACAAATGCGTTTCATTCATTCGTTCATAACCACTCACTCAAACCCCCCCACCCCCTGCCGACACAGTTTTGCATAGGGCCCCCAGAAGTCTAGGATCGGCACTGCATACAGTACAAACACAAACTGGATTTACAAACAAACTGAGTAAATTAAAATAACACTCTTTTCTTTTTTTTTCTTTTTTTTTTGCTCCCAGAGCCTCCGTCTGCAGCCGAGAACACCATCTCCACCCTGAATGACACCTCTGTGACTTTAGAGTGGAGTCCTCCCAGAGACAGCGGCGGCCGAGGGGACGTCACCTACAACGTCCACTGCAGGAAGTGCGCCAACGACGGCAAAACGTGCAGCCCCTGCAGCAACAGCGTCCATTTTGTACCTAGACAGCTTGGTCTCTCGATCCCTAAAGTGTTGATCACGGACCTGCTGTCCAACACCAACTACACCTTCAGCATAGAGGCAGTGAACGGAGTGTCCGATCTGAGCCCAAACCCTAAACAACAAGTCACTGTCAACATCACCACCAGTCAGACAGGTAGATTGCGTCTTTTCTTCCATGATAATGTTTAAATGATGCTTGGTGTATATTTTTGACAGTGAAACCTGATGGTTTAAAAACTAACATCAGATAGGATCTTATTGACTGAAATTTTGTCACTTTGTGCAGCATTTTGCTTTCAAGACTGATAAATTATTCAAATGTTGCGTCGTGTCGGACCTGTTTAGGACGCAATGTTACACTTTAAATGCCAAAGCCGGCACAACGCTACATGTTGATAAACTGAAAACCAGCATGCCCGAGGCGATTGTTTTTCTGTGAAGAGGTCCTCATTATATTTTCATAAACAAAACACTCTCCAAATATGATTTGAAGGAATTTTTGTAGTCAACGTGTGTGCGTCTGTGTTACAAGAGAGGTAAACAATGTCTTTTTTTCAGTTTCCCCCATTTCTTATTCAAAATGTTATACATCCCCAAACCTTTACGCTGACAGCGAAGGTTATCTTTTTTTATTCAATGAGATCTCTCAAAACTCTCCAGTGTTTGACAGCCCTTGCGTCTGGTATGTGTGTTTGCCTTTGTGATGCAGCGTATTGTGGATTTTCTGCTCCGCAATGTTGTTGATGTAGCCAACGATGTTGTTCTGCTCAAGGTCCCAGCTTTCGATATCAGACAAAGTATAGGCTTGGTACAGCCAGAGGGTTGTTGTTGGACCAGATTGGCATTTGCAGATTCCCATCTCGCTCTCTCACACATACACACAACCTCTGTGGAAGTTCATAAGTTCATAGTAATCCAAATGCTCTAAATAATACATGTCATTAAATATGTTATCTGCAGTCAGGACTCGTTCTGTGGTGCTAAAATCTGCTGAAGTCACAACTGCCCTCACAAATTTCTGTCTCACACCCCTGACGGGCCGACAGGGGTCATCGGTGCAGGCGTGTTCTCATTAAATGTGTGTTTGTGAATGTGTATATGGTGGTATTGGGCCTTGTGTAAGGCTCCGGCTGAGGTATTAAATATGTATGAAGGTGTTGAGGCTGTAGAGGGAAGCTTTTGAGCAGAACGGGCACTTGCTGAGAGAGAAGCGCTTCGTGTCGGAACAGGGTCAAAGATCCCAATGATTTATACATTCAGCCACGTCAGACCATGAACCAACCCGAATCCGAATATTATATAGTTTAGAGCAATTTAGGAATTAATGCTGCTCATAAAAATTCACATTTAATGGCACACTCTTCAGAATAAAACTTCCACAAAAAGTTTTCTCAGCCTGATGCAATGGGAGATACTTTTTAAAGTACCACAAGCAAGTTCCATTTATTTTTATTTCATTTATTTATTTCAGAATTTGTTACTTTCTAGTTCTTTAGAAAATGTGGTTTCTAGAAAAAGTGTTTTCTATGTTCTAGTGTTTTAAACCAGAGCAAATCAAGAACCTATATAAACAAATTAAAGATCATTAAAATGTAGCTATAAAGAAAAAAAAAATGTTATTTAAAATTAATAATCAAATAGCTAGAGTGGAAGATTGATGGGAAAAATGCATTTCTTTCTGCATTTCTTTCTTTCTTTCTTTCTTTCTTTCTTTCTTTCTTTCTTTCTTTCTTTCTTTCTTTCTCAATAACATCATAAAGCCTTGGCCATTAGATTTAACATGATTAATTATTAATGCAATTATTAAATATTTCTGTAAGTAGGATAAGTGTTTATTATTTCCATATAATTAGGTATAAAATATTTGTGGAAATTATAAGTAGATTTGAGCGGTAGAAAAATACAGTAAAAACAGTAATATTGTGAAATATTGTTATTACAACTGTTATAACAATTTAACAACTGTTTTCTATTTGAATTCTTCATGAAATGTACTATATTCCTGTGATGGCAAATATGAAATATATTGCATCAGAAATCATTATAATATGCTGATTTAGTGCTCAAGAAATATTTCTTATTATTATCAATGTTGAAAACAGTTGCTGCTTAATATTTTTTATGAAAACTGTGATTCTTTGAATAGAAAAGGACAGTGATTATTTGACAGAAATCATTGTCACTTTTGATCTATTTAATGTGTCCTTCTGAATAAAACTATTCTTTAAAAAAAATATATATATTAAGAAATGCACCAAATTTTTAAATGGTATTGTATTTGTGATTTCAATCTTTAAAAAAAATGTTTTTTTCCAATAATAAATAAAATCATTATCCATTAATCACATAAAAATTAACTGGTTAAAAAGTGAAGAAACCTAAAGCAATTGTATCTGAACAGAAAATGACATTAAACGTAATTTACTCTCATGAAGGAGTTTCAGTGTGTGTGTGTGTGTGTGTGTGTGTATGTCTGGTGTAATTTTGAAGGCTGTTCACAGATCTCAGAGCACAGAAAAGGTGAAGGACACCAGGTGAATATACCTCCAACCATCTGACCAAATATCAGGCCCGCTGTCTCTGCTGCCATCTCCCTCCACCCTCTCATTCTCTTTCTCTGTCCGTCCTGCTGTAGTGAGAGAGATGAAGGGACAGACGAGCGAGACAGAGAAGGTGTTAGACTGTGTTTCAAGAGTGTAATTACCTGCTGTTGTGTGGCCCCCTTTGTCTCTCTTTAGACAAAGGTTTCACTTGTGTGTATGTGTGTAAAGCACTCTCTGTAAGTCTGTAAGGGGATTGTGAGCTCTCAGTGGCTTTATTTTGTATCAGTAGAGGGGTAACTGGAATAAAACCATGTGGGTCAAGAAGCTGCGATTGAACTTCGGTGATCTTGAACACTTACAGATAGAATTTTACCATTTTGTATGCACATCATCACGTTGTGCCTTTGTCTCACTCTGTTTGCAGTGAATGTGATCCTGAAGGAGAGAAAGAGTAAAGACAGCATCACACTGGCCTGGCAGGGACCCGACAGACCAAACGGAGTCATAGTGGAATATGAAGTCATCTACTATGAGAAGGTACATCTACTTTTCATCTGCTTTCCTTTCTTCTTCTCTCCTCTTTTATTACCATCTGAACAGTTATCATCCTCACACACAGATTGCACACATGCTTCTTTGACCTCCATTAAAAGCTGTAACGATTGCAGTTGTCCAGGCAGCCCTGGCATGTGTAATTGAGGGCTGAAGCATCATCGTGCCTTTGGGAATGAAAGCAATCAGTAGACCCTGTACGCCACAGCCGGCTGCTCACACACATACGCATAGCTCTTTAATTATAACGGGAGAATGAAATCAGGGTTGACGTCACTGATCAGAGAGAATACCTTCACTGTAACACACCTGTATACACAGACTCACTCTCACATACACACAAACACACACACATACAGAATAAAGGAGAACTTGCACACACACAGTTGAACAAGCTGATCTTCGTTATATCCAATTTTTATGTTATGTTTATTATTTAAAATATTTATTTATTTATTTAATTTGTGTATACTTTGAGCAGGCTGTACTTCATATATCCAATATATGTTATATCCAATATTTTATTTTGTATTTTATTATTATTTTGTTTTTTGTTGTTTTTTTAACGTGCACACAATTGTTAATCAAGTAATCAAGGCTGTGAGGCATATAAATACAGTACATCCTATTTTATTATTTATTTTATACTTAATAATAAATGTAAAAAAATCGAATTAATTTCAGTTCAATCATTTTTTTTTTTTTTTGCACATATTGAACAGATTGCACTTCTATCCCTAACTCAGCCTTAGTCAATCAGTCCTGCACAGATGCAATCGTTTGACCCAGTCTAGTCTGGCACACATACTGGTTGTTGTGCGATTATGGGATGTCAGCTCAGACTGAATGCCCAGATGGGTGTCTGGCATTGGAGATCGTGTGGTGCATGCTGTGTTTGTTGGAACTGGAACGATCCCACGCTCTCAGACACAAACCTGCTCTGCACTCCTTCATTCTGGGTGTGGTGGACAGGAACCAAGTCTTTCCCAGAACCCATTTGGTTATGGGATGCTCTTTAATATTTGAAAGAGATTTATTCATTTTGAAAGGGTGGTTTGACTGTTTTAATGACTGGTAGCTAGTGGCTGATTTCTCTCAGGAATATCATCTCTCATTTTGTTCATTCTTGATTTATATGATCAGTTTATAAGATCATATTGCAAGATTTTTTATTTTTTTTTTAGACTTGCATACCTTGAATGCAAGTCGCTTTGAATAATAGTGTCAGCCAAATGTATGAATGTAAATGTAATGCATAACCAGACTGCTGACTGCAAGTAAAAATCAGTCAGCCACATCCAAACTAGCACTTTCAGCCAGCTTTTGCCATTTTTGTGTACAATATGCATCAGAGAATAAGTGAATCTGCCATGTTAAGTGTTAGCTGGCATTCTTGGTAATTACTATAAAATTAATAAACTCACAGTATTCATAGACTGCAGATGTCTGACTCATGTAACTATAATCACACAAATAATCATGTCAGACAGTGTAAATTAAAGCCTTGGCCTGGTATGTTAGCACCCCAGCATCTGCCTCTCTAAAATGACTCAAAATATGATGCCTGCTGGCTACAGTATTAACATGCTGCTGAAATAATATCCTTCATTAATCCTCTTATGTCATATTCTACAACACAACCTCGAAATTCTGCTGCTCTACATGCAGCACATCAACGCTGCCACCCTGCTGTTTACTTTAAATTGATTCAACAAGTATATTAGACTGATTGGTTAACATTGATAGCATAGCATCACAGTTAAATTTAACAGAAAGCTTGTTAAGTTATATAGATGTGTAATTTCATTAAAAAAAATGATGCATTAAAATTGACATTGTTACCAAAAAAATCAAATAAATGCTGTTTTTTTTTTACTTTTCTATTCATCAAAGAATCCTACAAAAAAATGTATTACAGTTTTCACAAAAAGATCAACTCTTTTCAACATGGATTATAATAAGAAAGATTCTTAAGCACCAAATCAGCATATTGGAATGATTTCTGAAGGATCATGTGACACTGAAGACTGGAGTTCAGCTTTGCAATCACAGAAATGAAATTACATTTTAAAATATTTTAAAATAGAAATCAATAGGAATCCAGTCATAAAAACGGAATTTACTGTATAATGTGGAATGTCACTGAATTTGCCAAATTTTTGGATAAAGCAGAAGTATAGGTCAGTACACTTAAATCAAAACATTATATGGATTACTGTCTGTTAAGCCACAAAAATACTATTTAAATATGAATCTTGCATGTTCTGCGTGGCACTGTGTGAATGAATGGCACAGACGCACGGTTTTGTTTACTACACACATACTGAAGCTCGTGTGACGCTCACAGTGTTTTCAGCCTCTGCCGCCTCAATATATGAGTGCATGAACACATGAACATAATCTCGTCATATTTACCAGAAAATTTTTTTTTCCAGAATCTATTTAGCAGAAAAATAAAACATATTTCATAGGGCCTTAAAATTTAATTTTTGTTAAACTTTTAATAAATTGCTGTTTAATATTGTAAGTTTCATGATTTCAGTTAATTAGACATGCTTTTTGATTCATAAAATTTAATTTAACCATTAAAAGAGAGTCTAGAAAAATTAAAGTGGAAAAAATGGAATTTGGAAAAAATAAAACAGAATTTTGGAAAAATTAAAACTGATTTCATAGGGCCCTATTTTTTACTTTTTTTAGATATTGTATTTCTGATCAAATATATCCAGCCCTGGTGAGCATAAGAATATTTTCTTTCAAAGGCATTTATATCGACCCTAAGCTTTTAAACAGTAGTATAATCCGCAATAAAATCGGACAGGAACGCTATGCAACTCTAAATTTTCCATCATTTTTTTTTATCCTCAATCTCTGAATCCAATTTAACAAATCTCTCTGTAAGTGAATGTGAATGTTGCTGTGTTTTTCCATTCCAGAACCAAAGAGACCAGAACTACACGGTTCTGAAGACCAAAGCCCACACAATGACAGTGGAGGGGCTGAAGCCGGGCACCACCTATGTGTTCAGAGTGAGGGCGCGCACTGACGGAAGCTACGGCAACTACGGTGGAGAGATAGAGCTGGAGACCAGTCATGAGGGTAATGATTTTATGCTTTTCTCAACAGTTTCCTCTTTCTTTTACTTTCTTCTATATATTTTTGCATTGCTCCTCTTTCCATTGTTGAGCAGATGCTGGTAGTTTCAGGACACTGCTTTTGAATTTAATATGGTGAGCTGGTGTGTGACTTATTTACCAAACCTCCTGCTTATGCTCTTTGGGAGGCGAGCACGGTGTGTGTCGCCATGTCTTGTGAGGACAAACAAGGCTGTGTTGAGTCAATGTTCCTTTGATAGGGATCAAAGAATGGAGGCACATTTTAAAAGGCTTTGGGGCCTACGGTAAACACAGAGACCTTGTGGTATATGCACCTAATTTAAAGTATGTTACGGCCCAGCGAGCATCTCTGGAAGCATATCACAGAGCTCAGCGGACCTGATCTGCCAAGCTGAAAGTTAACGGAGTCCAGTATAGTAATTGCTCTTTTAATTATATGAGAAATGCTTAAGCCTTTGGCTCACAGTGACATTCATAAACGGCTTACACCATGTGCATTTGTTCATACGATACACACCAGAGCAGAACAGGCAGTACTGTAAATTGCATATGTTTAGTCTGATAATATAGAAAAATCAATTTATGAAACCATTGGCTAGTGGTTAGGTTATTATAATAGTGATTTTTTTTCTTTTACTTTCAACTTATCTTTCCAGGAGTTTTTGGTAACTTTCACTTATTGTTAGTTTTAGTTTACTTTAAATTTTTGCAGAGCACTATAGTTGTAATTTATTTATTATTTATTTTAGTTAGGGCTGCTAACTTTAATCTGCATTTAATAGCATTTAGTGCTGTCAAACGATTAATCGCCATTAATTGCATACAAAATAAATTGTTTACATAATATATGTGTGTGTACTGTGTATATTTATTATGTATATATAAATACACACACATACAGTATATAGTTTGAAAATATGTACATGTAATTACATGCATATATTTATATTCATTTTCATATAATATATACTCATATTATATAATTTATATTATATATAAATATATTTAATATACAAACATAACATATTTTTCTGAAATGTATGCATATATGTGTGTGTATTTATGTATAAATAATAAATATACACAGTACACACACATATATTATGTAAACAAATCTTTTATTTTGGATGCGATTAATTGCGACTAATCGTTTGGCAGCACTAATGGCATTTTCATGTTTAATGCAAGTTGACTGTAAAGGTTTCCAGTTTTTATATATCATGAACCATGCTTGCCTCTGTTCTGGATGTCTTTTCCGATCATATCCCTCATTGTCCTGTCAAAATAGCTGTCAAAAAGGGCAAAAATCCTTTATAATGTAAAAAAAACCAAAAAAACAAAAAGAGAAATTCCTATTTAGCATATTTCATGCATCTGGTCCTGACTCAGAAAGTTGCAATCTCTTTCTGTACGTGGTGCATAACTGAGATTGCTGAATGGAGTTGAGTGGAATTCTAAATCAATTCATGTTGCTGGAGATATTCATTTTCCTGAAAGAGGCAGTTACTCATGCGTTGCCGGGCTTGATAAATGATGTATTTGTTTTGAGTAATGAGTCGATTGCAGCAGCATAAAATCCATATACTCGCCGTGAAACTTTCAAACCGAGCCTGTTATTCCCTCTGTTAACATACCTATTTGGATGGCATGCGTAAATTAGAAAATTGACTCCCGCCTTCGTCTACATATTTAGTAGCCAAATGCAGCTGGTTCTGGTTTTTCAAAGGAAACCAAAGCAAAGTTTGACATTGAAGCTATGTAGGTTTTTAACCCTCTTTGGGGTCTAAGAGACCACATACTTTAAAAAATCCTCCAAAATGTCTCCATGAAAGATGTTGTATTGCTTGTTTGGTATAAAATATGAATAAATGCAATCAATTTTTCACAAACGTCACTATACTGCATAAAAATCAATATTTTGAAGAATGCAATAGTTAAAAGTGAAAAATATAAGTTAGAGTTTCAGTATTGTTTATTTTACTTTTGTTGTTCTTATTATTAAACACTTTTTTTTATTTCACATAACAATAGTATTATTGCAATAGTAATGTATTTCTTTATTGATTTGTTTAACATGTATACATTAAATAATAAAATAATTGTATCAATAATATATATATATATAATTATTAGTATTTTATTTTTTTCTCCATTTAAAAAAAAAAAAAAATTGTCCTTAGCTGATCACATGCTTGAATATCTTTCTTGTGGTTTTTGATAAAGTCAGAGGAACTCATTGGGGTCTTGGAGGCCAAACAGGAAGCGAAGCAATCTCAAAAACAGCATGAGGGTTAACACTGATGCAAATGTGTTTCTTTTTCTCTTTCTTCATCTTTAGATATGCTGGCCATTGGGGACCCTAACCAGTCCACAATCCTTGCGGTGTCCATAGCCGGTGGCATTGTGCTCCTTATCTTCCTGGTGGTGTGTTTTGTAGTGAGTGGACGGTAAGAATAGGCTTCCTTTTAACACCATTTGATCTTTGCTTCGGTCATTCCGTCCTTCTAAACCATCTTAGAGGAAGGTGTACTGGTCCCGAGGGCTGATATTACACAGCAAAATAAAACGCTTCTGTTCGTTAGATCTGAGAGCTGCTGTCAAATGGCGATTTTACAAGAAATTGAACCTCGAATTAGAAAATGAAATGTGGATTCTTCCATGCCGAAGCATTTAAAAGAACTAGAACAACCCAATACAGGCACTCGGTGAGGTGTGTCTTATAGGCTCCTAAAAACCAAGAAGAAAGCGTTTGAAACTGAAGTCTGAGGAGACATTTTGCACAGCATCTTTGCTATTCAAACAATAGCTGAAGCAGAAAAGACGGTGCAGTCAGTTGGATGAGATGTACTGAGCCTATAAATTAATGCTGATAATAAATATACTCTGACTGAATTAAATAGTGGTTTCTTTCTCATACAAAGCTCGCCCGAAGTCTCTAAAAACATTAGCATTGATCTGAGGTGATTGCCTATCCTGCTGAGTGCCCTATTCAGTATTGACTAGAAAAGACCCATGTTTGCCTGCTGAGAGCATGTAGAAATGCACGTAATGGATTCATGTGCAACAAATAATTAATCTCAAACCACTCAACTATAAACCAAAACAATAAATATGTAAGATTGGAATATGCAAGACCAGAAAAAGTGGTGTAGTAGAGTGATTCTTGGCAGGTTTTACTCAGCTTCATGCATTTCCAATTAGAGCTCTCTGTCCGGAGCGAAAGTTGGAAAAACAGAATGCGTTGAGAGAGCAGGCAGTGTTGATTGGAGCTCCTCAGATAACTGTAGAAGAGAAGACAAAATAGAAAAGAAGGATGGTCAATTACTGAAGATGGCTAGTGGTCTCATGTTTTTAGCTCTAATATTTTTAGAATTTGAATTTGAAAAATTAAATTAAAGACACATTTTCTGAAAAGATTTTGACAGCGTGTTGTCTTTAGTGTGCTGTTGGACTGTCAGAACATCAAACTCTTTCAGAGATGTTGCATCTCTAAATTCCTCTCCTTTGAGGTGCTGTTAGAAATTCAGCGGCTTGAACAATACGTTTCAACACAGTTACTGTCAGATTTCAAATGTTCTGCTTTGAGCAATGTTCATGGCAATGCTCATCCATATGGCCTTTTATTTTTTGTGTAGACTGATTTGTTTTGTTCAATAATTATTTAGTTAATAGTGTCAAGTTAAAACAGCTCAACTTAAATGACCATAATGCGTTTAATCAGTCCTAATTAAACAGGGCTCACATAAGTCATTCAGACATACTGTAATATGTTACAAAAGCTATACTGTAGACCTGCTAACATAATGCAGATATACAGTCTTTCCCACAAATTTGAGGCCCCCAAGTGCCTTTTTATTATTCCACCATGTGCAGGTTTGCCAGAAGATTATTCCTTTGGCTACGGGCCTCAGGCGTAAGTCTCTACTGTAGCACAGCTGTCTGACATACTATAGAAAGATTATGCAAACAGTATCGTTCTTCAGAGAGAAGTCAGGCCTCAATAACCCCTGCCGGCCAGCTATAAGTCCTCAAGCTGAACCGTTGGCTTACTTTCAAACATTGAGGATAGTTTCATTTCATGCAGCTCAGGATTTCAGGGCAAGAGATCCAACAGCATAATCACCTTGCTGCTCTTCACGTCTTGGTCTGCTAAAATCCCACTTGACAGGTTGAGTCCATTTTGTTTCCTCTTACCATTAGGTCTTTATAGCTGCCAAGTATATCCATCTTTTTTTATAAGAATCACACCAGGAAGAAAGAGCAAACGAATGACAAGTGAAGGAACAAACGAACGAGTGAACGAATGAGTGAAAGAACAATCCAGAACACCTGAGAAGAGATGATGCCAACCCCTCAGAGGACCTCAGATGATGCCAACCCTGAAACAACATACAGAACTACCACATTTTGCTATAAGTTTGATTGCATCATATAATAATTGCTGTTAATAGTGTTCATCGTCTGTTTTATTACGTCTTAAATTGATTTTTCCGTACTGCTGGTTCGTCTGGTCAGAGGAGAACTGGCCCCCCGACTGAGCCTGGTTTCTCCCAAGGTTTTTTCTCCATTCTGTCACCGATGGAGTTTTGGTTCCTTGCCGCTGTCGCCTCTGGCTTGCTTAGTTGGGGACACTTCATTTCCAGCGATACCGTTGACTTGATTGCAAAGATACTATTTAAACTGAGCTGGATGTTGACATCACTGAATTCAATGATGAACTGTCTTTAACTGAAAAATTTGTGTTTACTATTGTCATTTTGCATTATTGACACACTATTTTCCTAATTAATGCTGTTCAGTTGCTTTGACACAATCTGTATTGTTAAAAGCGCTATATAAATAAAGGTGACTTGACTTGACTTGACAAACGCATTAACAAGCAAACAATTGAATGAAGGAACAGTAGCAGAGTGGCTAGTTAGACTTGCAGTATTCAGCCTGTTTTACTTCATTATTTTCAATTTGTATTCCCCATACTCCTCTTCTCTCTCTCTCTCTCTCCCTCCCTCTTTCTCTGTTTTCTCTCTGTAAAAACATGAGCAATATTTTGCTAAGGCTACGGCACCGTTAGCATATTTTTGCACTGTTGATGACTTCACCTGGCTCACAGAGATAATGCATAATTTAGAGATTTTAACATCAGCATTGCCTGCTCCACTGCTATAATACTTGTAGCCTACAAGAAAGACTGAGGCTGGGATCTGTGCTTTAATATAATCGTTTGAAATACAGCTAATTAGCGTCATTCCCCTTGTTGAATGAAAATAGGCGAGCATGATTAGCATACCATAAAAATGCATTTTTGTAAACCGTCATACAGTCAAATTCTCAATAATAAAAGTATAAGTGCACTGGCTAATAGAAATCAAGTTTTAGTTGGAGTCATTAGCGCACAAGCTATTCCTTTCTCTTCTTTCCGTTCCCTGTGATCTCTTTAGTTTTTGTGGGAATAAAATAACAGCTGAGATCAAAATAAGTAAATAAATAAATAATGCCGTTTTAATTTGCTTGTTCAGTGCACCAGGGACTTACATTTGGCTGACAGAATACAGAATATTTGTGGTCTTATACATGGACAACAGGAGAAACTGGCATGTGTTACAGCAGGCAGATGGTGTTCAGTCATCAAATTCGGACTACAATTTTTTTTTTTTAAAGTCTGTTTCCCTAAAAAACAATTAAAACACGGCAGGTGGGTGCTAACGGCTGGGAAACTCCTGCAAGTGTAGCTCTCCGACTTATCAAACATCACTGCTGCTCTCATCATTGCCAGACAATTATTTTTGTTTTTAACTTATGAGAAAGTTGGAAAATCTATTTTACTCCCACGTCTAACTCGCTCTATCCTTTAGGATAATCTCTTTTAAGCCGTATCCTCAGTGGAGCGCCTAATTATTTGGCGTGCGCGCTACACATGCCAATATTTGTCTTTTAATTACATTTTTAATATGTTCTGCTGCACGCAAATCAAGCAAGCACATTCTTTTTGAATAATTATCAATAGTTACTGTATTTTTTTTTAAATATTCAATAAGTTATTCATATGAATTGCAGTATTATGCATCTCAAAGATGATTTCCCCTCATTTCAATAGTTAGTAATAGTTCAGCCAATAATGACAATTTGCTGAAAATGTACTTACCCTCAGGCCATCCAAGATGTAGATGAGTTTGTTTCTTCATTGGAACAGATTTAGAAACGTTTAGCATAACATCACTTGCTCACCAATGGATCCTCTGCAGTGAATGGGTGCCGTCAGAATGGGAGTCCAAAGCGCTGATAAAAACATCACAATAATCCACATGACTCCACTCTATCAATTAACATCTTGTGAAGTGAAAAGCTGTGTTTGTAAGAAACTTGTGCATTAACTGTACTTTTTTTATACATTAATTGTACTTTTAAAAATGTTTAAAATCATAGTGAATTGTCAATGGCCTACATATTTTCTGTATAGTAGGTTGCCTCATGGGGGTGCTATGTTAAGATCACATGACCAGCTAAATGTTGCGTATTACTCCTATTATATACATATTTTATATACATGTTATATGCATGATTTAATTCAGTAGTTCCTGATTTTTGGACACTTTGGGAATAAATTAATTAAGATCAACTGCAAATAATGCAAATGCAACTGCATTTCTACAATTGCATGAGTAACTGTAAACATTGAAAAGTATTTGCATGATCCTGCAACTTATTTCCAGGCATGTCTAATGAAATGTGCATGCTTGTTCTCGAGAAAACAAATTGAGATTGTATTTTCTAGAGCTGTCATATTGTGCATCATGATTTTTCCCATTCATTTGTTCCCTCCCTGGTACACCTCTATAAGTGTATACTGTGCTTTTAAACCCCTCTACCACCTTTTTCAGATATAGTCTGTCATGACGGTGGACATAATTTGAGATTCTACAAGAGATCATTCACTTATCTCCTTGATGATGCTAGTATGGCACAGATGGATTTGTCTCTGTAATGAAAGATGAAGGAAGATTTTCAAGCCGATCTAATCAGACAGAAGCAGCAGCTCTTTGTCAATGAGATGTTATCTTCGAAGCATCTGCTACAGGCCTTGGGTTGTTCTTAAAACTTAATGATGACAGGAAAGTGTGCTTCATTCGCTCACTCACTCTCATGCGAGTAGAACGTTTCTTCTGAAGCTGAGAGCACTTCATGCTCTCCAACATGTTTTTGATCATTTTCATCCTCCCATTATGTGTCGAACAGGTTGTTGCGCTGCCATGTTCGTAATGGATTTCTGCAAAAAAAAAATCAGTTTTACCTCAAGTGTGCTTGTGTGTGGTAACATCGAAGTGATATCTTTGTTTGGTCAAATGGCACCAATTTAACTATTTAATGTTTGGCTCTTTGTTTTTCTGCCCTGGTATAAATGCATCTGTGCTGCTAGCAGACTCACCAAAGCGCCTTCCCATGCCTGAAA